CCTCCTCCTGGTGGGTCTCGCTTGCTGTGGTGCTCCTGGATCTGCTGAGTTAGGAGCTGGGCCGTGCTGCTGCTGCTGCACATGGTGATTAAGAGCTTGACTGATTTTCTAGCCCTTGACCACATTGGTGGGGACAGAGTACGACAGAGGAGAATGGCGGGGAGCCAAGTGCAAAGAGGGTTTATGAAATGAGCTCTCAATGAAGGACACTGTGGGAAAGAATGCGATGGAAGCAGATTGGGGGCCAGTAGATGTGGGAAAGTAGAACAACTCAAAATCACTCTTGGGACTGGAGCTAAAACAAAGCACTTCGCCAAAGCACAGGAAGATGATCCAGTCTGTGAGGCTCGGCCCTGTTGATAGAAAACAAAGTATTCGTCTCTGCAAAATCATCATGGACAATGCTTCACCTTCACTATGTACCAGGTGCTGTGCTGGGTTCTGGAGCTACAGATAAGAAGCAGTCTCGAGAAGATGATCAGAAACATGCATGGAATGATTTGTCAAAACGTAAATGTATGTGAAGGGAACCATTAAAACTGTTTTGCCTAAACTCTGGGCCCAGAGCCAGCAGGGATGAATGGGAGGGGAAGGGGCCTCTGGCTGTGTCCCCACTGCCACTGCTGGCTGCCTCGTGTGCAAATCTGAGGAAGGTTCTCAGGGAATTTTCATTCCCTGCTTCTCATTCTGACAGGAAGGCCCGGCGGCTTCCCACCCCCACACTTACAGTCCAGAGGAGGCCTGCTTCAGTGATGGGGGCCTGGTGAAGGTCTCCAGGTGCTCCAAAGTATGGGTAGATAGTGAACACTTGACAGGGGGGGGGGGGGGGGTGGGGAAACTCACAGCACCCGGGGACAGTCGGACATCCTCCTCTGAACCTAAAGTTGGGGCCGGACACTTGGGATATGACTTCTCCCCACGCCCCCACATACCTGCCTGCATGTCTATGGTTCCACCTGTGTGTGGTCAGGGGTGATTTCTTCCAACCCACCTTTGACCTGCTCGAGCTCCCTTTGGGTAAAGGAATCAATTATTTTTGCTTCCTTTAGCCTTCAGCATCTTTTTTTGCCCCCTGGTAAACTGGAGAGGAAGATGAGGATCTGGTGTGTTTTTGTGCATCCATAGAATACATAAGGGAGGACATGATCTATTTAAAAGGTGGAATTAAGAACAAATAAAACTCAAAACCAGTGAATGACTAAGCTCAGTACCTGATGGCTTTTGTTTTAAAAAAATCAGAAATAAACTCCTCTTTCTGTGGTTCCTGTTTGAAAATGACCACGTAACCTGGAGTGGTTATTTCATCTTCCGCTGCAGGAACAGCTCTGTGTGGCTTTAAAACCCAGGTATCTGCACTGGAGGACTTGAAGGAGGTGCAGCTTGAGCCAGAAGACTTCACAGGGGTGTAGTCTAAGCCAGGGGACCTCAGAGTAATCTAGCCTCAGCCAGGGGGCTGGGGGGAGGGGCTCAGTGGTCAAGCCTCAGCGGTGGGGGGGAGGTGTGGGGGTGCCCTCAGAGTGGTCAAGCCTAGGCTGGCAGAACTCTGAGTGGCCTAGACTAAGCTGGAGGGATCCTTATACCAGCATAGCCTCACAGGAGGAACTCAGAGTGGTCTAACCTAAGCCAAGGGACCTCTGAGTGCTCTCCCCTAAGCTGGGGATCTCAGAGTCGTCTAGCCTAAGTCTGAGCAGCCTTATACCAGAGTAGCCTAAGCCTCTTATCTCCTGCTGGAGGAATTCAGGCTGGCAAGGGCGGGGGGCTCCCAGGCCCCCCCTGCAGGTCAGCTGCACCAGGACCCAAGTGTCCTAACTCCTGGTCCAGGACCCTTCCCTCTGTTTCTAAAGCAGTGAAAAGGGATTGAAATTCCTGGCAGTGTATGGTACGAGTGTCCCTAGCATTGTTCTTTTTTTCACAAAGGGAACATGAATTTAAGGAGAAACTCACAATATTCGATAAAAATATCTAGCATTTAAGCACAAAGCCCAAAACAAGGCGTGGTCGCCCAGGTGCTGGAAGTACGCTGAAATCCTGAAAGTCTCATTTGTTGTTCAGGAAACAAAATGGAGCAACTTTTCTCTGCTCGCTCCTGTCCCCTCCTCCCGTGGCTGTTCCTGGCAGATGCCCAGAGCAGCACCCTGTAATTCCACGGGACATTGTGTACATTTGCATCCGCTCAACCAGCTATTTACAGCCGCCCTTTACCGCCACCTGTAAGAGGCAATGCCATAACGAGTCTAAGTGGCTGGGCCGGGAACTGGGTGCCCCGTGACTTTCTCCACTTGAAGAGCCCGAATCTATGGAGTGGTTGGCCCTTGGAGGAACAAGGAGACAGCTGGGGCATCACACGTACAGGGCGGAAGGCGCGAGGAGGCGGCGCGCCAGACGGAGGGTCCTTCCTCGTTAGCTCCGCTCGGCGGCTCCTTTTCCATTACCGCAACCGCGAGGGGGAACCTGCCGGGCCTTCCGCGCGGCGTGTTTCCTGCCTGATAGCGAGCCCGCTGCCGTTTGGATTTGCTGAATTTCTGAATCACCCGAGCCGCCCGGTGGGGACTCGGTGCGCTGGGGTAGGAGCCCCAGTTCGGCGGAATCGGGACTGGATGTCACCCCCTGGAGTCCAGGAAACCTGCTCACGGATGTGATGCCGCGACGCAGGGACACCTGCGCTCCCCTGCGTGCCGCACTCGTGCAGCTCCGGGTGGCAAACGGGGTGAAGTGGGGGCGAGGGCGAGAGGAAGTTGCGGTGCTGGAGCGTCAGAAACGCTGCCTTGGCTTCCCCTGCTCTTCGGAGGCTGTCCCGAGGTGGGGCTGGAGGGCTCTGCACGGCGGACTTCCAAGTTGCCCCCGCACAGCTGGAGGTCGGGAGTTCTAAGCCCCCCGAGGGCGGTGCCCCAGCTGTCCCAAGTACCCGCTAGGAGCCCGGTGCAACCGACCGCATGCAGCGCTCGGAGCGCACCAAGCCGAGCAGAAGCAAAATATAAACCCCGCTGGGCCCGGGGGCTGGCCGGCTGCGGCGCAGAGTCAGCGCGGACCCGGAGCGCCTTTCGTTTTAAGGAGCCTTACTTCTGGGAAGGGACAGGGAACTGTCAATCAGCGAGGGAGGGAGCGCACCGGCGCTGGGTGATGTCAGCGGATCATCTGCTCGATAACAAAGAGGGGGTATTACAGGAGAAAGTTGCAGCGGCGGCGGCGGTCACGGCGGCACCCCGGAGCCTCCGAGGCGAGGGGCCAGCGGGCGAAGGGAGGGGGGGGGGGGAACGGCTGCTGCCGCAGCAGCTTAAGACCAAGGAATTGAAAGGGCTGTAGGGGGAGGCAGTGCGAACCAGCCCCGACTGCCCCTCCTCTTCCTCCTCCTCCTCCAAACTCGCAGGGTTCAGCCCCAGCGCTCGCTCAGCCGCCGGGAGCACCCGGACGGACGGGAGGCAGCCGCGCGGCCCCGAACTGGGCAAGGTCCCCAGCCGCCATGGATAGCGACGACGAGATGGTGGAGGAGGCGGTGGAAGGTACAGCGTTTCTCTGGGGCTGGGGGAGGAGGCGCCGAGGGCTTGGAACGCGGAAGGAGTGGCGGGCTGCGACCGGCGCGACGCCGGGCCCCGCGGCCCCCACTGTCCCCTACGCGGGTGGCCCGCTGCCCAGCTCGGGCACGGGCCGGGCGGCCACGGCCACGCCGCCGGGAGCGCGCACTGCGCGGCGGAGCGCAGGCCGGGAACGGGGTTCCGCGGGGCCGGGGGCCCCGGCAGGGTACGGCCGCTCCAGCCTGCCGGGCCAGCGCCCGCATCCGCCCTCGGAGTTGCGAAGCTACCCCGCACTCTGGCCTCCCCCCTTTTGGGGATGGAAGGTGGGGGTGCGCGGGAGGATAGCCCCCCGAGACCCGCAGCCTCGCGGAGCGCTCCCTCCCGCCCGGCTATGGCAACCCGAGCCCCTCTCCGGCTGCCAGCCCTTTCCTTCCGCTCGCCGCTGCGACCTGCGGTGACCGCGGCCGCGTCCGGGTTCGTCCCCCGGCGCAGCGCACGGGGCCGACCCAGGCACGTGGCAGCCGCGGCCGGGGCGGCCGCTCTTCCGAAAAGATGAAATCATTGCAGGGCAACCACCACGCTCCGGACCCGGGGCTTGAACGCACGCCGACCGGGAGGCCCTCCCCTCCGCTGCCCCCGAGCGAACTCAGGCAAACCGCCCCTCCCCCTTCCTGCTTCCGAGCTCGGGTGCCGCCGCCGCCACGCTGTTCAGGCGCGCCGCAAGCCCTGACCGAAATTGCTGGGTGACACTTAACTTTCTGAATTCCATGCCGTTGGCTGTGGGTGATATCACCGCCTCGGTGTCGTGTTTCTCCGCCCCTTCTCTTCTAGCGCCCCTCCCCCGACTTTTCTCGCCACTTTGTTTTGCTGAGTTTCTCCACCTTTTTTTTTTTTTTTTGCTAGTTCTAAATAGCGAGGTGGGGACGTTATACAATCTAGTTGTTTGTATCAGGAGATGTTATGATTTTGTAACAGTGAGTACTGGAAAATACTCTTTAGCATGTTTACTTTTTTGATTCCACCCCAGACAGCACGTCGTGATGTTTTGCAATGTTGTGTGATATTATTCCAGAATATTTTAAACCAAGCGTCCAAGTAAATAACGTTAAGATTTTGGTTGAATCTGGTTTCTATCTAATTTGTATAAACAAGTTGTCACAAAAGGTAATGAAAAAGAAAGTAGCAACAATGTACAAATGCATGAGGATATATAGTTATTGCTACACTGGGAGAAGAAATCAATTTTTATGTTTTCATAAAACATAATTGATTCCTTTTGCAGTGATCTCGAGGTCTTACGGTGAGATTAAGTATAATAATAATTCTGAATTCTCTGGAAGATATCCATCCTGATGTAACTGTTAAAACTTCTTATTTCTCTATCCAGCTTCAAAGAGTGTTAGTTGTTGTTGTTGTGGCTTTAATTTCACAATGTTGTGAATTCACAGAACTATTTAATAATCAAATTCAATGTTGGGGGCTTCTGGCCCCAGAGACGGTGATTGAGAGGGTCCATTGGAAGCCTTCATTTAATTTAAATTATTGACTTCTTGTGCCTTCATGTTATGAAAGATAAACAAAACATGTGCTCTCTTCAAATTGTTAGGGCTTGTTCTCATTCTTCAAAGCTTACTTTTATTTGTAAAAATTTAATGCAAACCTTTGATCACAGGCAGTGCTCCCCAGGTTAAAAACCACATTCCTTTTTGAAGCTGTTTAGAAACATAAGGCCCAGTTGTTCATGGTCCCTGGGTTCCTTGCAGAAGGTGAACAAGCAGATTTAGAAATGTGTCTGTTGGTTAGTCCTTTATATAAACAAGGAAGAATCTGTTATATAGGACCAACTGTATGCATTACTGTCCTAAATCAAGAATATGCTTGAGGGTGAGGGGGTCACTAGTAATACTCATGCTGGCACAACTAGTTCAAGCCTTGAATGTTTGGGAGCAATCCAGGACACATGGTCACTCGTTGTACCTGACAATAAACAATGAGAGTAGGACAGAATCTTTTAGAGTCCTTAGAAGCATTTAAGGCTCAAACTCTGTCTAGCGGGTGTGTGTGTATACATGAAGTGAACTGTACCAGTGGGCTTTTCTCCAGCCAGTGTTGGCCTTTCTAGTGCCGTCTGTAACAGTCTTTGCTTACCATCTAACATGTCCTGAGGAGACTGGTAAAAGGCTCCATAAACAGAGCCTTTGGTCTCCACAGTTCCTTTGTCTTCCCTATTATGATCATTGCTGTAATTGTTTAGTTCTTACTATGTTCAGACTTTGTGCTAAATGTTTCACACACATGTTATCCACTCAGTCTTATGAAGTGGGCACTAATATCCTAATTTTACAGGGGAGGGGACTGAGGTACAGAAGAGTTAAGAACTAATCCAGGGATACTCAGCGAGGTAGGAGATAGGCTTAGATCTCCAGGACCTCACTCCATCATACCAGACTGTCTCCCCACATTTTTCCTTTTTTTTTTTTTTTTTTTTAAGTTTTTAGTCAGTCAAATATATGCAATACTCAGTAACTGTTTTTATCACTCAGTATCAGTTTTTATCACTGGAGAGCTTGATTCTGACAGAGTTCAGTGACTTTCAGAAAAATGTATTTGGGGGAAGAGAATTTAGCTGACAGCCTCTCCAACAGACATCGTTATTCCTCTTTTTCTTCTTCCTTAGCAATTTATCCTGGGGAAGAAATTGGTCTTTGCAGGAGTAGAGTTGAAATGTTGTTTCTGTCAGGGTGGAACGGTAGCCTGGGTGAAGTTCTAGGCTCTGAGTGGATGAATCCCGAGGGGAGGTGGCCAGTGGAGGGAGTAGCTGTTTACTACTGCTGGGTAGGCAGCAAGCCCAGGCCTCAGAGGGCCCAAGAAAGCCACCTGAGATCCTGCTGTGGCTTTTTAAAAACTCTTCCAGGCTCATTAGTTCAGTAGGAAGTAGTGTTTATTACTAGATTTATTTCTTTGTCTACCCGTAGATAACAAAGATGAATACATTGTGGTCTCTAATAGAATTTTAAATACATCTATCCTATCCAAACAGATGAATTATGATGGTTGAGAGGAAGTAAAAATTACTTCTAGCTTGGGGAGGGAGAAGGAGAAAGATTTCCCAGAAGACGTGGTATGGAGTTGATTCTAGTTGAAAGGGGCCTCAGTGAGCGAACACAGAGGTTGGTATCTTGTCATTATGGAGGCACATTCAGAGACTAAACATTTGGTTCTGTCAGAACAGAGAGCCTGGGAGAAAAGTGGACAATAAGACAGGGGAAGAGGCTGTGTATCAGAGGCTGAAAATGTGGATTGTGTGCTGAAAGCCATGGGAAGCCATGGGGGCTTCTTAGAGCTGGGAATGACAGGAGCAGAGTTCTGCTCTGGGAAGGTGAACCAGCAATGGTGAGCAGGATAAGGGATCACCTAGAAGATTCTTTGAAATAATGTGGTTAAACAGATATGTGGTTAAACAGCCAGAAAAAAAAAAAAAGGAAAGGCTTGGAGCAATATAGGAGATGCTAAGGAAAAATACTCCAAAAAAAGGAAGTATCAGAATGTCTGAAAGTAAGGAGCCAGGATGAAAACAAGCAAGCCAGTATTCCACTGTCTGCAGCTCCTCAGCCTGTCTCTAACAAGGCTGGCTCGTGCTCTGTACTTGGGGAAAATGCATACCAAGTGCACTGGTAGCACCCCTTCCCCGTGGGCCACGCACTAAAATTATGACCCTCACAACTAATAATTAAGCTCTCATGAAGAATTACTCTCAAAAACCAAAGTATGCTTTTAACACCCAGTGTAAATGCATCATCGTGAGGGGCATGTTCTTTGCACTAAACAGAATCAGTTTGCCTTTTATTACTTTTTTAAGCAGCTCTATTCTACAAAACCACAAACAAAATCTTGTTCTGAAGGAAACACACTAGACACAGGCGTGTGTACGTGCGCGCACGCACACACACGCACATACACACACAAGCCCTACTCTCAGATCTCCTGTGGGTAAGCCTGAGGCGGTCAACAGCGGTGGGTCTGACCCAGAGGGAATTTCCTTTGCGGAGATGGACCATCACTGCCCAGAAGACAGGCCTGGCTCTCATCAGATTAAGAAAAAAGCTCAGAGGTAACTGGAGGGGGAGTTTTTAACTTTCTAACTATTCAGTAGATAATGATTTTTAGGACAAAGTGAAAAAGTAAAAGTATGAAACTGTTACATTTTTTCCTTTAACCTCTATAAATATTTAAAATCACGCTGCGGTCGGATCTACAGCACTTGGGTTGGGATGGTATTATCAACGCAGAATAGTCATTCCAGTGAATTTTCCTGTTGTTTGAGTCTGGTGTTCAGCCTCTGTTTATCGGGAACTGGCCCAGAAGGCTGTTGGCTGACTTGGAGCATTTTTACAAATTGACCTCAATCAGAGCAAGGAGGACTAGTGTTTCTCTTTGAGTTAGGTAACACTTGGAAGTGATAGGAATTTGCAAGCAGGACATGCTGTTGGAGATCCTGGGTTTTTTTGAGAAATATCGTAATTCCAGAGGCTTCTTCCACTTCTCTTCCTGGGTCCCAAGAATACCTACCTCTTTAGGGATACCTTCTTCCACCAGCAGCAGGAAAGAAAGGGTATGCTGCTGGTTTGCTCTTATCTGGAGAGAAAAAGATGGAAAGAATTGGGGAAGGGGCTTCCAGTATTCATTAACACTGTTCAAAGTGGTTAATATGTTTCTCAGGTGCAAGGCGTGGGCTTCCTCAGATGAGATAAGCTTGGAATGTGAGGGCTTGTTGTGAGGTGTGCTTGAGATAACAGGAAAGGATGCTCTCCATTGCCAGATGCCTAATAGGCATGCAGACTTTTTTCTTCTCTGTAGAGCAGCGGTATTGACGAATACTGACCAGACAGCTATTCCATGATGCTGTTACCCACGTGGTGCTTGAACAAGAGCTATACCAGACCGTCTACAAAAGCTCTAATGTTGAACGGAAGTGGAAGGGCCAAACAACCAAATCTCTTCTCTTCCCTACATTACTTTCTTCTGAACGTTCTCTTTGTTGTTGTTAACTGTTGGAGTTGTTTCAGATACCAGGTTCTACTGCTAGGAAAACCACTCCAGGCTATTAAATATTCAGGGTGGAATTCTCGAATGATCACAGGACTTAATTTCTAGCTCTTTTCAATTGATCCTGTTCATTGATAACATCGTCCTCCTTTTGGAAAGATGAGAGGAAAACAAAACAAGCCAACAAGAGGGGCCTGCTGTGCACTGGCAGAGGGAGAGGGAAACATCATGCATCCACATCTTCCCAAACACACTGTGTTACCCAAGAAATGGCTCGTGTTTTCTGTCCCTATCTCAGCTAGGGGCTAAGGTGTTGGGACAACTTTTCACGGGCCTGTTGAAAGACACACTGACATAAGCATCCTTCACGGGATGGGACTGAGTGTTTTTGCTTTCATCTCTGTTGGGATCAGTACTGCCCCTCAGGTGCTTTTAGCATGTTCCATGTGAAGTGTCCACATGACACTTTAAATTTTCTCTAATTTTCCACCACTGGGGATGCACCAGCAGTGTTTTATTCAGAAATAGGACAGGACTGTCATGAATGAGGGAAGGTGGAAATGAAATTTTTACACTGTTTTTTTCCTCCTTAGTGTTCATGTTTACTATAATAGATCTCTTCATCTGAAGTACCATAAAAATTTTCATCAAACATTAACATTTTAAAGTTTAAAATATGTGAACTTTTTTCTGTGAGGAAAGTACTTTCAACTAATTAGTGACCACTTCAATATAAGGCTAAAATGATTATTCTGATATACCTAAATCATAAGTAGAATGCTAAATCCATAGAAATGTTAATCCCAGCATTTCACAGAAGCAAGCTTTCAGCTATACACGGAGTGAGTTTTTTAATGAAAAGAAAAAAAGTATATTTAATTTATTTCAATGAGAGAAATGTCACCAGTACATATTTAGAAAATAATTGTCCAAATTATTTCATATGACTTGAGTATCATTGAACATACCATGTATAGCTAATTTTTGAGTGAGAAGAAAGCAATTATGGCCTGGTTGCTTTCTAACCATTAATTTCCTGGCCTTTTGTAGAAAAAAATTTGTGCTAAGAGGAAAGGAACCATATCAATTGTGATTTAAGTAGTCACGTTTTATTGTAATATTCTAGATAATTCATTCCATACAGAGTCAAGTGTAGCAATAAAACAGTGTATTTGTTCATTGTTATTTTATGTATATAATCAATAACACAAATAGAGAGGTTTTTTGTTGTTCATAATAACGCTTACTTAACCTCTCTTCTAAGAGGTGATTTTTTTTTTTTTTTTTTTATCATGTTGGAAGAAACCATTTTAGGAGACTAAAGCATTCACTGTGGTGGTATAGTTTGTGTTTTCCTTTATGTCTGTGAGCCATCTAGAAGCCCCATTTAAGTGTCTAATGTCCCTGCATTGCACACCGTGTTTAATGCTTTCATACCTTTTTCATCCATGACCCAGGTCATTAACCCAAGAAAAAGCCAGGAGATTAACTACTGCCTTCATTTTCACCCACCTCCATAAAATTAGCTCCCCAGAATAACTGGGGAGATACCAATGAGGTGACTCCTGGGTTTTGTGAAATATGCACATAATAATAAAAACCTAAACATTGACTGTAAACATAAGTATTGGAATATACGAGTCTGTGACCCAGGAAGAACCAGCAATTTAAAGGTCACAGTATAAGAGCTGCTGATGTTCAAAATCACTGTCGAAATGACCACATGGATACTTGCAGCTGCATTTAAAGCACAAACCCTCTGAACATAGTGGGAGAGGGTAAATGACAATGTTATTACTAAACATTCAAAGCTGAAAGACACTGTAAAGGAAAGCAGTAAGTTCAAGTTGAAGTTGAAGTTCAGGCTTAGAAGGACTCTGAGTTCATGTGTTAGTACAATGTTAGGTGTATAAATACTAGAGCAGTTTCAGAGATGTGGCTGTGTCCCTTTTTGTGTGAGTATGACAGAGCAAGCAGTAAGGTTTTCGAAAGACACCGGCTAGCAGTCCTCCACATCCTCCTACATAATGATCTGTAAAATTACATCGTATACTGAGTTCTACAACTAGATAACTTATTGCAAAGACAAAGTACCTTACAATAGACTATAAAATGGGGCTATCTCAATTTCATTTCAATTAAGCAAGAGAGTTTGGGGGCATTGATTCCAAATATGAGCAGTGCCATGTAGGGAAGTACTTGGTAAATTGCAACATGCAGATGTTATTATTGGGAATAACTTGTAGTCCCCAGTAAAATTCCAGCTCGTTTGTGCTTCCTAGTCTGAAATCTGCTTAAGTCCCTCTGCTGTAGCCCCCACCTGTTCACAAAGTGTACATAACAGATCAGTTGATACTGCTGATGCAGGCACAGAACGCTTGGTAGGTGCTCTCCCCCGAGGCAGGCAGGGGGCCCTCGGGCTGCTCAGGGAATGTGCTGGCAGGGTCTGAGTGCAGACATGGCGGTGGGAGCACACTGAAGATGTTAAGCTTTGCTATGTGCTTCCCTTTCTGCAGGGCACCTGGATGATGATGGATTACCACACGGGTTCTGCACGGTGACCTACTCCTCCACGGACAGATTTGAGGGGAACTTTGTTCACGGAGAAAAGAACGGCCGAGGGAAGTTCTTCTTCTTTGATGGCAGGTAGCCCTCACAGTTTTGTTGAGTTTCGTCTTGTGGCGGGGTGGGGGGTGGGGGTCACCAAATTACTGTACTTGAAGGAATGATACAAATGAAAGAATTTAAGTGGATGTTTTGGTGCCACTTACAGAAGAGGCAAAAGTCACCCCAATAGCTATACACTGCTTTGGGGACCTAGGGAGTCGTTCGTGCTCCTCTGGGGAGTCAGCCTGAGGCTTAGGTCCCTCATCACTGCCTCCTAGGCTGTGCTCGCTACAGCTCCTCTGTCGTGCCCGAGTCAGGGAGCTCCCATCACGCACACATAAGTTATGGGGCTCACCCAGTTCTTTGATGGATTTCACCTGCTTGTCCACATAATGAATCCCTGTGAAGTCACACAGATGGGGGTTGTTTTTGTCAGGGCCCAGCTTGGGCAGCTTAGGTAGCGACTGATTCTCACTTCTTTTCAAGGACAACACACACTCCAGTGCCCGCAGCCCTCTCTCTCTCTCTGCTGTCACGGTCTGGTTCCTTCAAACACTTTGAAGGATGATGTGGCCACCTCGTGGGTTCCGCAGCTTCATAATTTTCTCAGCATATGCCCTGTCCTCATGAGACGGGTGAAGAAAATATTTAGCAAGACTCTTCAAAGCTGCCTCATCACAGGTCAACCAGGGAGACACGGGACAGGTGAACACAGGGTGTTCAACTCCAGACTCATGGTGTTTGACAGGCTGCCCTTTGGGATGACCGTCATTATGTGTGGTCCCTCTGTGGTGACGTCACAATTGCTACCTTTGATGCTCTGCCTCTAGCTAAAATATGTTCCACAGCAGGGTTCTTGTTATTTTGCTTTCACCTCCCATCTGAGAATGCCATGAGGCAGAAGCTCCTTACCCTCTTGAAATAGGTGGGAATGACCACAGGAATGACTTTCTCTTTCAAGAAAAGATGGAATTGTAGGGGCACAGTTTTCCTACCGTGACTTTTAAACCATGTCAGTTTCAGAAACAGAGAATGACCACGTGAATTTCTCAAGCACTGAGGAATTCAGAGACAGGGGAAGGCCAGCTCTCTTTCTGCCCGCTTGATTGAGGAATAGGGAAATGGATTTAACTAAAGCAGATTCTAAGATTCTGCAGGGTACAGCGCTGCTTCTAAGCTCTGGACATCAGTAATAAGCCAAAGCTTCCTATGCCTGGGAATTTCCCTGGGAAAGGAAATGTCTAAGCTGACAGTTCAAGGGTGACAGAGGGACTGGCTTGTGACCAGAATGCCTTTTCTGTAGATGGAGTGGGTTGTTTTTAAAGTTTTTAACAGTTCTTCGGGCCCTCCGTTATCTGATACAATGAGGAAAGTAGCAAAAACCTATCACAGAACTTTTGTACAATTTCATTTTCATTATTGATCCCAACCTTCTCTTTCCTATGCTCCCCAACCCCACACCACATCTCTTTTCAGTGAGCTTTGCTTACAGACTGTACGTTTTTTTTAAGATTTTACTTTTATGTAATCTCTATACCCGACGTGGGGCTTGAACTCAAAACCCTGAAATCAAGAGTTGCACGCTCCACTGAGGCAGACAGGCACCCCACAAACTGTACCTTTTAAATGGCCAGATGTTTCACTCTCTTTCCTTTGCCCCCCTGTGGATACCTGATGGACACCAGAGTCCCACACAGAACTCTTCCAAGATCTGGTATCAATGCTTGCTTCTCTCATGATTCCTTTAGCCTGTCCAGAGGGTAGCTGCTCCTGCCTGTTCTCACAGCAGTTTATTTATATCTCTTTTCTGGAAAAGTATTACTTCTTCTCTCATGTGGCAGTTATTCTTTTATTCATTCAACAAATGTATATTTGTGCAAATGTCTTACTTCGTCTAGAGGACAGAGGTTTCCTTGAGGACAAAAGCTGTTTGACCTGCTACGCTTCATGGCACTTTCCCTTAATTTGATACTTAAAGAAAAAAAAAAAGAGAGAGAGAGAGAGTCTTGCTAAATGAGTCTGGAAGCAGAAAGAGAAGGTAGAATTCACCCAGAACACCCACTCCACCCTCACCACACACACACACACACACACACACACTCTCTCTCTCTCTCATGCTTTCTGGTAACTGATGTCTGGTAGCTGATGATCCCAGCCAGTCATTGACTCTGGGGAAACAGTGCAGCAGGGTCAGCTGATAGGAATGTTGCTGACTTGCTTGGTCCCCAGACCTGACATGCAGTGTTGAAGGGCTAGACTTCTCTTCCGCACCAGTGTGCCAGGAATAAGCTGTGCTGGCTCCAAGATACTGATCCTGTTGGCCATGGGAGGAGCTGAGTGAGGCCGGACCCTTCCCAAGCCCTTCCCTCCCTCCCTCCCTCTTTCAGGCGGGTCACTTCTAGCTGCAGCTCGATTTACCCATGTCCCCCTGCAGCCCTGCGCATGCGTGTCCCAGCGTGAAAAAGCTTAAACACTGGGTCCCATTGAAACATGAGGCCAGTACCTATCAATGGAATAGAAATTGATTGCCCCCTTTTTTTTTCCTTTTTGAGTCACTAATTCACTAGTTTTTATATGTACCAGTCAAACATCTGGAGAGACTTAGGTTAGATAGAATCAAAGAATGATGGTATTAGCACAGACCTCAAGAGGTTACTGTTGTGCCCTTCTTCGGATAGATTGGGGCTAACACTTAGAGGGGAAAGAGTCGTACCACTGCTTTTATGATGTAGTGGTATGATGACAGGTTCTCAAAAGGTCACTGTCACCTCCTTCCTTCAACCCAATACTGAGCATATTATGAGACATCTGTTAAAAGGATATGCCATAAACATGAGTGAGATAATCTTAAGACTGAAAAAAAGGCCATGGAATCTACTGGGCCTTTTTAAGGAGGGTGCAGGATGTGGTCCTAGAGAAGTCAGCTGTTTCTCCATGAAATGGTACCCAATTTAGGTTTGTCTATTAATTTTTCTCCCTATTAACTGCTTCTAATTTTTAGAGTCTGATGTATTGGGTAAAACAAAGTGGGGACCCTATGCTTTCACTGCCAGTCAGGAGCTTTAGTCTGAAAAAATTTCCCCCAAAAGGGCTGAAATCAAGGTTTTAAAATAGCAGGTGAGGAAACAAAGTTTCTGTGAGAGTTTTTAAAAGCTGTCCAAACCTGTAATGCAGGCTTATGTTCCCATCAGAGGATTTGTTTGCAATTGCCGGAACCTGTCTGGAAAATTGCAAAGTGTCGTGACAAAAGATTTGGCCTTGGTGCGTTCTAATCTTATGTGACACCTGAACGGGGCTGTGGGATTTCTGTAAGCAAGCTTACTTACAGTACAACTCACATACAAAAAGCTGTACGTATTTAATACAGCTTGATGCACTTGGAGGTAAGTATATATTTATGAAACCATTACCACAGTCTATGCCATAAGCTCCATACGTGATTTATGAGAGGGTTACAAACAAAAACAGATTTATAGCAGGGAAATTCTAGAATCACTTTTCTATTTTATATAGACTATGATAATGAATAAGAATTTTAAATATTAAGATCACGAGGAAAAATGGCCCTGTTAAATTTTTGAGGCAAGTTCCTAGATAGAAGCAGAATATTTTTCAATTGCACATAGAGCAAATACTTGGTAGAATAACAGACTTTAAGAAATACACCAATGTGGGGTTCCTGGGTAGCTCAGTCAGTTAAGTATCTGACTCTTGGTTTCAGCTCAGGTCGTGATCTCGGGGTCCTGAGCTTGAGCCCGGAATGGAGGCCTGCATTGGGCTCTGCACTCAGCAGGGAGTCTGCTTGTTCCTCTCCCTCTGTCCCCCGCACCCTCCCCCCATGCACATGCATGCTCTCTCTCAGAAGGAAGGAAGGAAGGAAGAGAGGGAGGGAGAGAGAAAGGAAGGAAGGAAGGAAATCTTTAAACAAACGAAAGAAGAAATATACCAATGTAAAAGGTGAATATGCCTCCCCTTTTTCTGTGCCGTCACCCCCACATCACAGGGGTAACCACTATTGGCAGAGAATTTAAGCATATTAATTACACATATTGAAGGTAAAATAAGGAAGTAGCTATTTATTTCTAAATCAATTTAAATAGCCAAAATGTACATTGTACCTTACTATTATCTTAGCCTTAGAATGTTTGCTAGTTTTGAGATCTTCAACGGTGGGTCTCTCGTTTGTTATATGGCGAAATGTAGAACAGAAAAACATTAAAACTGGCTTAAGGCAGGCCAGTCACTCTTTAACAGAGAAGTTATCCCAACAATTAGGAATGAATGGGAAAATCGACCTTATCTTTTAAATTGTCTCTTCAAGCAGTTATTGTTTTCCATTTTCTCCCCCTTTGTAAAGAAATGAAGAAAATGTCCTGAGACTAAGATTAGGTCATTGGGACTTAACATCTGCTCTGGTCCTGAGATGAAGGCCTTAATGCGGTGAAAAGAAGGGGATCTAGGAGCTTCATTGCTGTGGTTCTGGGATCTCTCTGGCACCACTGGACTGTGGTGGGGTCGGTGGCATATTGGGAAAGTATTCAGCATGTGGAGTACTTTGAGGTACACATCTCTAATTTTTATGCTAATCCCAATTCTGGATGTCCATTTCAGTGCATTTTTTTTCTGAATTGTTCTCATTTCAACCAAGATTTATAGATACAAAGGTAATTTTGCAGAACTACTTGAAATTTTAGGATGATAACAAGAAAGAGGTATTTCAATGCAGCTTGGCTTTGGGCTGGGTAATATTAGGGAATTATGTGGTTTTTAGCCTGACTATGAGATAAAGGTGAGGTAATTCATTTAATTACATATTTTTTACATTATTGATGCTTCCCCTTAACATGCCAGTTAGATTTCAGAGTATTATTTACTTCTCCTAGTGTTGATTGCTACATGCATGTGTCCAGCTGAGAGGGCCTTTTGTCATTTATCATTGGCCAAATAATGTAAGCAAGGCTGTCCATTCTGTGAGCCACTGAGAAAGGCTGACATTTTCCCAGTGACAGGCCCATGCATGATTCCTTGTGTTTGGATTT